TAATTGATCTAATGAAGTGATAAGAATTGAAAACCGATTTGAATTTGTCGTCAAGTCTACTTTAAATCGACTTTCCCACATTTTTGATTTTAACTTCTCCAAAAATTGAAATGCAACAGTAGGTATGACATTTTTAGGAATTTTGGGGATAATATCAAAAACGTGGGAAAGTCAATTTCAAGTAAACTTGAAGACTGAAGTCAAATTCTAACCTAACCTATAGCCTATAGGCACCTAACTTATAGGTACCGTCAATCGAGGTGACTTGGAACTACGAGGTGAAATGAAACAATTTGGTTTTTGTTTAAACATATCAAGATATCTACTAGGGTATTTAATATAATTTGATTCTACCTCCATTCAAAATATGTCATCATTTTTATGGTAATAATTAGGGCAGTGAAGTTGTTGCATTTGCATGTTTTTTTTAAATGGTTATATTTATTGCTGAGTGAGCTTAAAATATGTTTCGTTAAACTCTTAATTTAAACAAAAAAAAATTATATTGCAATAAATGCAATTTTGGCGATTTTTTTTTAATTTGACTGCAATTTTAACTATTTTTCATAATTTTCGTTTACATTTAAGATTATATAACTTAATATATAAAATAAAAGTAACTAAACGTAGCAGTGAACAAATTTCTATATTAGTTGTAATACTTACTTATTATTTCTATAGAGCGATTATTGCATTTTGGTCGTTAAGATAAAAACTTGTCCCTCAATAACACAATAATATATTATCGTCTATCAGCATTCAGTTATATTTAAAAATACCAAAATCCTAACAGTAGTGGGGTTACAAGAATCATCCGCACATCCTACTATTGTGAAAATTTTGTAGAAGTAAAAAAAGTAATACAATTATTAAATTCAAATGATGCTATTTCTATTGAACAAGCTCAACATCTTTTGTCGGATAGTTCTATGGAAACCAACTTGGCGTTCATTCATTCCAATTATGGTTTCATACCAGCAGAAATCACTAAACTCGAAACCCAACATGTTCCATTAATCGAAGCTTTATCTATAGTTAAAAACGTTGACACTAAAATAGAAAAAATTACGGGATAAAATGGAATATTAATAAACCAGAAATTCAAAACTATTTTACAAAAAAATGAAGGATATCAAATAATTGTTTGTATATCAAAAATTCTAAGTGGAGAAATACAGTCAATGGAGGGCTTGCCAGAAGACTTGACCAGCAACGATTTAATCTATTTCAAGTACGCGCCAATAACAACTACTGACTTAGAAAAAAGTTTCTCCCGATACAAAAAATTGATCATTCGATTTTGAAAACTTAAAAAAATTATTTGTAGTGCAATGCAATAATGTAAGCAATGTTCATATTTAATTTTTATTATTATTATGTATTAATATATTTAATTTTATTGATTATAATTAAATTTTTTCAATGCAATTTTTAATATATTTTAATGCAATAATGCAATCAATTTAGTGCGTTTTTTAATGCAATAACTTCACTGCTTTAGTAATAGTAATATTAATGTTATCTTAGTCCGTGCTTCAACCCAAGGCCTTTTGTCAAAATTCGAACTTTAAATGCTTATAAAATAAAATTGTGACTATGAATCTTTAATATTTTTCAAATGTCATTGTAAAAATATATGAAGAGCTTTGAATTAAATTTTCAAGCTTTTTAACCAACAAATTTTATTGACATTCATTTGAAAAAAAACTAAAAATAAAGAAAACTGAAAATGCCCGTAAACCGCAGTTCAAAACAAATCAATATTTTTTGAAAATTTTATAGTGTATAGAAAATGCTAATATAAGCAATCTGTGAAAATATGTATCTACGGTCATTTGTTTTAGAGTTACACAACTTACAAAATATACCAAAATGGATTTGATCTTAAACCTGTTCGTAAATTTTTACGCTTTATGACCCAAGAAATAAAATTTTATTGACAATAATAGACAAACATTTTTAATGTCTGTTAACAGCTCAAACCTTGTTAAAATATTTTAAAAATATTTTATGGTGTATAGAAAATGCTTATATAAACATTCAGTAAAAATTGCATGTACCTACCTCATTTGTTTTAGGATTACACCAAAAGCCAAAATCGATTTTGAGTAAAAATTCCCGTTTTTCCTTAATTATTTGTATGTTGTTTTTCCGGGTGCTTTTTAAAACTATTGGGAATTTTAACTTCCCAAATGTACGAACTAGATTCACTTTCTTAATAACTTAATTGTATATAGGTAGGTAGTGTATATTTTACACCGCAATTATAGGTACCGCATCATTTGGCGGATCTTTAAAATACCTACTCCACTCTTTTTATCTTTGTCGAAGCAGGGGCGCCCGCAGAAAATCAGCTTAGTGGGTGCAAAATTAATTTATTTTATACATATTATACAGATATCTTAGAACTTAAGACAATTAGAGTAATGTACCTATCAAGCATTAATAGAATCCATAATTAATTATATGGAGAGGTACGTATAAAATAAAATACAAGTATAGACCCATTAACAAAAAATACAAAATAAAATACTGAAAATTATCCTAAAAAAAGACTCAAGAAACCACACAAAATATTTATACAATGACATGAATATCAATAAAAAAATATTTTATAAAGTGTCGATACTTTACATAATTAAAAATAATCTTACTTTAAAACTAAACACTGACACAATACCTACTAGAAAAATATCTAATATCAAATTACCAACTATGTACAAAAAATTAACACAATCCACATACATATATATTTGTCCAAAAATGTACAATATTACACTGCCATTAGAAATTAAACACAGCAACTCTTTTATAGATTCTTAAAAAAAAAATTACACTTTGGCTATTACAAAAACAAAATATAGACAGACTCTTAACAAATGTATAGGATTACTAAATTACTACATTACTTATCAGTTATCATATTAGTTATACGCATAGGCGTGAGCAGACTTTTTTTCGCAATGTAGGTATGCCGGTATTTTTAAACATAGGTACATAGGTACAGCTCAATATGAAAAAGAATTCCCCAAAAACTATTAATAGGTACAAATAACTGGCCTTATATAATGCAAAAAACAATTATCATGCATTTTATTTAGATTATTTATTGGTTATAGTCGTTATAAATATTTTGATTTGAAAAGTTTGTACTGTGATTTCATTTCAATAAAGTAACAGTATAAAAACCTACAGGCATTTGATCAAATTATAATAATATAATTGTTTTATATAATATACCCGTTGGGATTTTGATGAGATGTTTTAAAGAGATGTACACATGGTTTTTTGTCAACTAGACTGAACATAGTAAAAAATGTATCTTATTGACTGATAATAAGAATAAGAATAATGCGACATCATAGTGGTAACATGATAATGGTAACATAGTAATGATAATATTTGTAGTGGACTGTATAACAAAAATGCCCAAACATACTCCCCCCATTGAGGACGAAGGGATTCAACAGAATTACAAAAAGTGTCTTAAACAAAAAACCACATAACTATAAAATATAAATAAAGTGGTAACAAAATGTGAGATATGAATGAATAATAATAATTAGAAAATAAAAAAATGATTATAAATTAATTATTGATTAATAGGCAACTTGATTAATTTAGTGATGGGTCTTGTCAGCTCGGCTACAGCAGTACGGATTTTTACTACTCTTACTTGGCCATCACTGGTACTTGGAAGCAGTTGAGTGATTTGGGCCAACGGCCACTGTGTAGGCGAAGTCTGAATGCCCTTAACAACAACAAGGTCGCACACTTGTAGATTGGGTTGAGTAAACCGCCACTTAGGCCGGTTCGCAGTGAACATAAATATTCGGATGTCCATTGTTTCAAAAATCCCTGTTGAAGTTGTTGTATGAGGTTCCATCTTGTCAAACGATTCATAGGAACTTCTGTTAATTCTGGTTCAGGCCAAGCTAGTAGAGGCCTTCCTATAAGAAAGTGTCCAGGGGTTAAAGCTGTGTAATCAGTGGTATCCATAGAGACAGCTTGAAGTGGTCTTGAATTTAGAATCGCTTCAATTTGGCAAAACAAGGTGTTTAGCTCTTCCGCGGTAAAGCACATGTCTCCTGTAACCTTATTCAGAATACCCTTGGCAGACTTTATATTCGATTCCCACAACCCTCCATGATGAGGCACAGCAGGTGGAATGAATTTCCACTGAATTTCCTTTGACTGACAGAATAATGTAACAGAGTTTTGATGATCAGGTTGCTGAATTAGTTTGTATAGCTAACACAATTTGTTGTTCGAACTAGTAAAGTTTGTTCCGTTATCGCTACTGATGATAGCTGGGAGTCCTCAACGAGCAATAAAGCGTCTTAATGTAGTAATAAAATCTTCAGTACTCAATCCATCTACCTTTTCTAAATGTACTGACCTTAGTAGTCAAACAAATGAACAGCGCTAGGTATGATTTTATGAAGGTGCGACAGCAAAGTTTGGATTTGATATTAAACGGGCCGGCAAAGTCAATTCCAACTCTTTCAAAGGCAGTTGCTCGTGTAATTCTGGATGTAGGTAGATTTGACATTAGTTGGTGACATGCTGCTTTTCTAAATCGATAACATTTAATACAGTTATGTATCACTTTTTTGACAGAGCTCCTGTTATGTAGGATCCAATATGGCAATATCTCCGTCTAAGAAGGGTTATAGAAACCGACAAGCTTGAATGTAGGTTATGTATGTGCACTTGGTTGATGATCATTGTAGTGAAGGAGTGATTTTTTGATAGAATAATAGGATGTTTGATATCATAAGCCATTTCTGAATGTTTGAGACGACCCCCACTCTTAGTATTCCCTTTTCATCTATAAAACGATTCAAACCAGCAAGTTGACTATTGGTCCTTACATTCTGTTGTCGACTCAGGGAGGTTAGTTCCATGATAAATTCTGCCTCTTGCACTATACGTATCCAGCACTCCATTGCTTGGCACCTTTCACTCACAGCACCGACGATCTGCTTGGCCTGAGGTCCTCAGTTCCTGCAAAATCGAATAATATAAGACACAATTCTCTGTAACCTTTCTAGATTAGAATGACGATTCAGGAGTTGCAAACTTGGTGAAGTGCTTGACGTGGGCGTTAATGGCATACTGCATTGCACTGTTCTTTCTTTAATGTTAAATGTAGAGTTTTCATAATTGTCTGCTAGCAACGTAGGTACTGAATGTTCTTGAGTGGAGACGATGTAGACTACAGTGGCATAAGCCTTTTCAGAGCTATCGCTGAAACCATGCAGTAGAAATGTACTGTGCTCCGATGAATTAATTATGTGCCGTGGTACTTCAAATGTGTTTAAAAATTTAAATGACGTTCTATGTATTTTCCAGGCGTTAAATAAATGTTGGGGGATGTGGTCTTCCCACAATTGCTGCATTATCAATTTTGCAACAACTACTAAGGGCGCCAACCAACCACAAGGATCAAAGTTTTTTGCAATTTCGGATAATAGTTCCCTTTTTGTTAGATAAGAGATAGTTTTCATTGGTTCCGCCCAAAATGTAAATGTGTCATTCGTTGTGTTCCAATTAATGCCCAATATTTTTATTGTAGAGTCTATATCTTCTTTGAATGATACTCCTTTAATTTGGTGTTCAGAGGGTATGTGTTGCAAGGCTACGTGGTGGTTGCTAGCCCATTTTCGCAGCTCAAAACCTCCTTGATTTAATAATGCAATAAGTTCATGAATTTTATGCAATACTTCCCTTAGACTATCACCACCAGTCATGACTTTGTCAACGTAAAAGTCCTTTAACAAGATCTGCGCTCCTATTGGGTAGGTGTCTTGTTCATCTAATGCTAATTGTTTTAAGGCATGATATGGTGAGGTGATCAATCCATATGTCACTGTTGCAAGTCTGTAGCTCTGTATAGGTTTCGATGGATTGTCTCTCCATACAATACCTTGAAACTGCTGATCCTCCCTGTCAACTTGTATTTGGCGGAACATTTGATGTATATCTGCGGTACACACAATGGCGGGAAATCTGAAATGTGTGATGACATCAACAATGTTTTTTTCCAATTTATGACCACGATATAGTCGATCATTAAGCGAGCACAAATCATTTATCTTACTTGATCCATCGAAAACATCTCTTAGTTTGGTAGAAGAACTGGCCAATTGACACACATGATGATGTGGCAAATAAATCAGTGGTTGTTGCTCACCTGGTTGAACTAATTTCATATGGTTAGAAGGTTCATATTCATACATAAAGTCCTTACACATTGACCACAAGGTTGGTTGTCCTTTGAGAGCTCGTTCAACCCTCTTCAATCTGCTAACGGCTACTTGATATGAGTCGTTCACAGCAGGTGGTGGCTCTTTGAACGGTCGACGTACCACATAACGTAAACTTTTCTCTCTATAATGTGTTTTTATAAAATGCTCTTCACATATCATATCTTCTTTAGTCATATGGTTAGCTCTAGGTATCTCTTCAATGTTCCAAAAGTTTTGAACGGCTACGTCTAAAGTAAATAGAACTGCTGTAGTGTGACAGGTGATGTTTTCAGTTGTGGTTTCCTTAAGCGGTAGTTCATAACCGCCACCAATAATCCATCCCAATTCAGTGTTCTGGAGTGTAGGCAAACCTTTGTTTTCGCAGGACTGACCAGTCTTTAATAGCCTAAAGAACAACTCAGCACCAATTAACAAATCAATTTTACCTGGTTTATAGAATGTTGGGTCGGCTTAGGGTAGATTATTTATATGTTTCCATTCAGAGATGTCTATTTTATTTGTAGGCAGGTTTATTGTAATTTTAGGTGTAACCAGAGCATTTAATTTGTATTGTTTAGATGTAGTACAAGATGAGATGTCAATTGTTGTTATCTCCCGCACATTTGTCATAGTGTTAGAGATACCATCTATAGTTACATCATGCTTCTGGTGTTTCAAATGTAGACGTTTAGCCAATGCTGATGACATGAAGTGAGACTGGGAACCAGAAACTAATAGAGCACGACACATTTCTGTCTTGCCATTAGTACCATGTAGGTGTATTAAGGCTGTTGCTAATAAGGTTGTAGATGCAATTGTTGATTGAGTAGTGCCATGATGAACCACAACGTTGTTAGCCACTTCTGCCGAGACAACTTGAACCTCTTCCTCGTCAGATGCCTTATTGGTAGCCAATGTTTTATCACTAGTGAGATGTGATGTATGATCTGATGTTATATGAAGAAGAGTATGATGTTTTAATGTACATATTTTACATACCTTGCTGCTTGAACATTGATTTGTATGATGAGAGTTCCATAGACAATTAAAACACAGTCTTGCTTTTATGACTAGTGTTTTACGGTCCTTAGGTCTAGCTTGCATGAATGTTGGACCCTGATATATTGAATGGTAGCTTTGACTATATACCGGACATGATTTCTTTCCCTGACCTGTTGATGACTCATTTGTTAGCGCAGCATGTGTAGTCGTCCAAGTAATTTGTTTACCCTTAAAGGTACCATTAAATTTTAGCTGTACAATATCAAGTGCATGTATGCGATTTTCAATGAACATATATAGATTCTACCACGATGGCAACTCAGTTGACTTACGACCTTCTACCTCCCAGGTTTGAACATGTTATTTGGTAATCTATTAGCTACAATATGCACTAAAATCGCATCCCAATGATTTACTGGAAGTTCTAATACCTTAAGAGCTGATAAATATTTTCTAGTAACGTCCAACAGATATCCTAAAGCGTTTGCCGATTCACTATTTAAGATGGGTTGTGATACTAAATAGTGCAAATGTTTTTGAACTATGGGTCGTTTATTATCATACCGGTCAACAAGCAGCGACCAAGCTTCCTTATAGTTTAAAACAGTTAAAGATAAGGTTCCAATGACTTTGGCTGCTTGTTCTTGTAAGCTGGACTTCAAATAATACATTCTATGCACATCATCAATATCTTGATTATCATGAACCATTGACATAAATTGACGGTAAGAGTACCATTCTTTAAACTTGCCATTAAATGTAGGTAGATTAATGGGTGGAAGTTTTATCAATTGACGTACATTACTTTCATGTGGTAGTGTTTTTGGTTCTTCTGATTTGTGTATAATATGTGATAATAAAATTGCTTTAGTATGTGCATAAATGTAATTTACTTCTTCCAATCCTTCTATGTAAGTATCAATCTTTTCATCTTCAACAGTCGACATCAACTCCTCAAACTCTTTATTGTAAATGCCAAACGCTTGTTGTAATAGTTGTAATTGAACTTTAGTTTGATCTGAGTTTAAGCGAGACACATTTTCCGCAGACAGATGATCCCTCTTCTTGATGGTGAATTTGTATTTGTTATTATTTAACGTTCTAGCTGACATGGCTGTAAATGTAATTTCGCGTAACGAGTATACATAAAAACGGATGTAAATGGATTAAAATCCGACTCGTTGGTCCAAAATGTTTTTTATAATATACCCGTTGGGATTTTGATGAGATGTTTTAAAGAGACGTACCTACAAATGGTTTTTTGTCAACTGGAATCTGGATTGAACACAGTCAAAAATGTATTTTATTGACTGATAATAAGAATAATAATAATGCGACATAATAGTGGTAACATAATAATGATAACATAGTAATGACTAATGACAATATTCGTAGTAGACTGTATAACAAAAATGCCCAAACAATAATAATGACAAAAAATTATAATCTAATTAATGGAATTCTTGTATTTTTTGATAGTTGTTGTGGAGTATAAAAATAAGCAATACCGCAGGGGCCTGATGCCTGAATGTTCTGGTGACATTGTGACAATAATCCGCAATTCTCACTAAAATTGGGGATTTTGATTTCAACATTTTCAACTATATTATCATGAGTTACGAATATATTTTATTATTGATAAGTACCAGCTGTATGAAAATCTAATTAATATTTTATTTCGCCTCAATTCCCAATATTTTATTATAAAAAAAATAATCAAAATATTTAAATATCATGATTCTAATTTATAATCAAAACATTTACAACTAACAACTATATATGGTTATGATAACTATCTGGAGGGGATGTGATGGCATCCCCCTGCGCCTACTCCTTAAAATAAAAATAAAATAAAAACATACATATTTAGTCACATATTTACATTATTATACACTGATTTTTTTGTTCATTAAAAAATTCCCAGTGGGTGCAAAATGTATTATTTACCTATAATAATATATTCTATATATTTTTATTTTTTATTTTATGTAATTAAATATAAAATATATAATATATTATACTAAAAAGATAGTAAGGTACCTAGAAGGTATTTAAAATACTTTTTGGAAGTACTTTTACTCAAGTAGGTACTTTACAATACCGCGATTTAGTTTATATTATATTCTAAATTGTAAGGTACCTATTGTAATATTATGTATTATGTCCATCGTCCATGGTTATGAGTTATGACTTATGACAAGTGTTTGAGTTGGAAAAGTGCAGCACTGTCGTATGCACTGTCTCTCCCTTCCATCCCCGCTCATCAATTACCTGTTACCACGAATTAAGATATACGTATATATATATAAGTAACCTAACCTATATATAAGTATATCAGTATATCTTAATTCGTGCCTGTTACATAATATTATTTTACATTAGATAACATAGTCGTAACTCGTAAGTCGAATATTGTATTATTGTTCCATGACCTATGTCCGTATTGACTGTTGAGTCGATTATTTTTTATAAGGTACCTAGGTATTAAATTTTTAATATTTATTCATTTACACCAGATACATTGATACAAATTAAACGAACGAAATCCGCTTTTAGTTCATTCCGATCGGCACTAGTTGCTCGTTGTATTGTTCCGTGTTCGTACAATATATTCAATAAACCTAGTTGTTAATAGTTAATACATTTAACTGTAAGGAATACCTAATAACAATTTGAATTATTGTATCTGTTATCTATATCTTTAGAATAAAAATAAAATCGTCCATTTGACTTCGAAGATGGTAGTAATTATTTGTTCATTTGATCTTTGCAACAATAAATTTTTGTATGCTAAAGAATATCTTAAATCTTAACGTTAACTTAAATTTTAACGTAATATACAAAAGTGTAGTGAGTATTTACATTCTCTCCTTACCAATAATTTATAATTAGGCTGTTCGATTTTTGAGAAGTACCTACTGATTGACTGAATCAAGTATGTGAACCTGTAAAAAATGTGTAGATCCCTATAAATTATAATGTTAACTATTGCTTTCAAGTATCAAACATAGTATATGAAAATTAGTTATTTACAATAATTAGCTGCTTACTTATCTAATACCTACCTGTGAATTATTGTAACTTTATAGTACTCGATAACTAGGAATATTATACTTTGTACTATTAGTACTTTCAACAGTAGTATTTTGGTTTATCAAGAATTTTATCTTTCTAAACCTTCTTTTTCAATATACTATAGGATTATTTTTTTATAAAATATCAGGAAGCTTAGTAACAATCAAACTTTGCTGAGAATCATATATTTTCATGTGATCATCTATTACTCTTTTAAAATTTAATATCTTAACACTTATCCATAATATTCTGTGTTTAGGTGATTGAAAGCTTTTGATCACCTAGGTACCCATCTTTGATATATAAATAATATGTAAAGTATATCTGATATTATGGTCTGGCCACTTATTTGAATTAAGTATTTATAAAAATATGTTGATAAAAGCATTTTTGTAACAGTAGAAAAATACCTATAATATAGGCCTATTATAATTTATACTAAATTGTAACCTACAATTTTAGTACAATATGGGTAAAAGTAGTGATTCATGGAAAACCACAGTTAAATATGTGATCTATAAATAAGTTAAATATACATTAACATAATATGCTTTATCTAATTATGTGCCTAACTCATAAATAGATATTTAATTATTAATTAAACTAAAAATTTGATTATTTTACACGTGAACAGTAGGTTAGTAAGTCATAAAACATTTTTGTATTGAAGAATGACATGATCGCTACCATGCATAGCTCCTTAGCCAACTTTATAAGAGCAAAGAGGTGTCCATATCCATAAGTTATCATATTATATTTCTGTGCACAATAACCATGAATTACAAATCTCAAAAATGATTTAAATGTTTATTGTTGAACACTAGTAGTTAGTACTCAAATCTATAAAATGTTCTTTGTGATTTACAGTTCTGTGAATAAATGCAGTTTGTTATATTTTCCTATTGTATTCCTTAAAGTAGTATAATTGTTGTGGGGAGTAACTACAGAAGTATACAAAATTACATAATTAGTTGAAAATATATTTTTAATTACTAGTCATGAATTACAAAAAAAAAAACCAGTCGGAAGTGGATCTCACTCTGCTGTACAGTAGGTAGGTTAAAAGTGGGTCACTGTAATAGATGGTGTTGAATTTGAATTCAATGATATAATATCATTGCATACAAAAAATGGTTCTGAGCGGAGCAGTTTGTCAGGATATTTTATATTATATTTAGGATTTGATATATAAATTATTATTATTCATATGATAGACGGTAAGTTGTACTAAAATTATTTGTATTTAATAATATACTTAAAAAGTTTCAAGCACCTACAAATTATATTTTTAAATTATAAAAATTGAAAAAAAAATTAATTATTCAATTATCCATTCAATTTCAATACGTCACTTATCCGCTCAAATCTTGAAAATGCTCCTATAATTTGGGAAAATAACAGCATTGGCCACAGTGACCAACTTATAAAAAATACAAAACAAAGTCCTTCAATTTATATGCATTAAATCTAATATAATTTTATGAAAACTAGATTGAAATTGAAAGGACCCTTAGAATCACCAAAAACTCGTAGATCTTGATACTATAGCAACTTTCTTTACTTACTAACTTAAACTAACTTAAACTTCAAATAACTAAAAAAAAAAAAAGGTGTACATATTTTTTAGATTATTAAGTATGTATTAATCTTTATGAAAATATTTTTTTACATAGTTTCAAGTTGTTAAAAAAACGTTTTTATTTAAAAATCATATTTTAAATATTTTTTTATCCTTATATTTTTTTTAAGTTTTTACTCTTTTGAATGACAACAGAGTTTTAATTTCATATTCCAATAAAGAATATTTTAAGTATTTTAATACATAAAAATTGAATTTAGGACGAGTAGCTTATGATTTATAAGTATTTAAAGTTTAGACAGGCGGAGTAGCAGGCAAAAATTTGCGGGGTAATGGTGGTACCACTCCATTCCTCCCATAAAAACATTATATATTTATAACTCATAAACTACTCGCAATAAATTTGATTTTTATGAATCAAAATACTCAGAATAATATTCTGCGTTAGAATATGAAATTAAAACTCTATGTTGTCATTCAAAAACATACAGAACTTAAAAAATTATAATGATAAAAAGCGGATAAGTGGATGTCGCTCTATTGTACAGTAGGTTACAAGTGAGTCAATGTATAATGGATCGTATTAAACTTGAATTCAATGATATAATATCATTGTATAAGAAAACGATTCTGAGCAGTGACGGTATGTCAGTCTAGCCGTCTAGGTATAAGTCATATGATATACTTATCTATGGTATTAAAAAAAATTACCTTTAATAGGTACCTATAATAAATTCCAAATTAATCATATCACAATATCCATTAGGTACTTATAACGTGTTATACATCAACAACATACCATGATACTATCATAGATATATAATAGTGTACTTTAGAAGTTTCAAGTACCCACGAATCTAGACACGCGGGAGCGTGTCAAGCCAAGTTCTAGCTAACAGAACTGGCGAGCAGCACTGTGTGTAATATTACACGAACCATTTGGAGCCACTTTTGACCCCCTCATAACTCAAAAACTATTCCACATAAACATGTCAAATTTGGCTCATATATTGAGACTAACGAGATACATATGTGCTCTAAATTTCATAAACACACTTCAAACCGTTATTTAGATATTAACGTCCGAAAATCGTCATTTTTATCACTGACTGACCTATAGATCAAAATTCTAACCCAGTTCCAGATGACCTAGAAAGTTCAAATTTGGCATACAGATAGGTAGTTAGGTAAATACAAAGGAAAAAATCAGAAACTTGAAAATTTTTAATTTTTTAATCAATTGATTTTATTATAATTTTGCAATTATTTTATCTATTATGTTTAATTTTTCAATTAATTAATGAATAGCCTCTAATTTAATGTAATGTAATATAATGTTGACTTAAATAAACTTTCCCGTATAGCCGCTCCAAAAATACGACTAGCCAAATATGTGTCGATATTGTCGACCCGCGCGCAGCAACATACTTTTTTTTCTATCTATGTATGTAATTAATA